CTAACCGGCTGTGGGCAGGGTGTGAACGAGACAGTCAAGAATGACCTGAGGTTTCTGACCCAAGCAACCGCCAAGGAGCGGCCACTGACAGACACGGGTATGGGAGGGGTCAGCCAACTGTGGCCCCCCTCGGGCCAAATCCAGCCCGTTTCTGTAACAGCTGGGAGTTCAGAATGGCTTTTACATTTTCAAGGTTTGTGGGAAGAAAACAAAACAAATCAAAAAGAAGACGATATGGCAGGAACCATATGTGGCACTCAAAATCTCAAATATTTACTATGTTTTTCCTGGAGTTTGGTGACCCCTGGCCTGCAGGAGGCGCAGGTCTGGGACAGATGAGGAGCTGAGTGTTGCCCAGGCTAAGTCTGAGGTGCCTTCTAGACGTGCAGGAACAGATGCTGAGCGGGCAGTTGTACCCGCAGGGCTGGTGGAGCCTGGGGGAGAGGACAGGGCTGGAGACAGAAACTATGAAGCCTTCCATATAACTAGTGTGTAAGCACGGGGAGACTGGGGAGATGCCCCAGGGAATGAGTGTAGAAGTGTATGGACTTCCAAGAGCAGGAGGTCACAGCTAAGGTGGCCCCAGAAAAGGAGACCAAGAAGGAACAGCCAGAAGGGCAGGTGGAGCCCAGGTGAGTGGGGGGACACCTTCTGTCATTTGATCCTCCAGCCTGTCGTCAGGCCCAGGGCCATACGGATCCCCGTTTTACTGATAAGGAAACTGAGGTTCAGAAAAGTGACCTGACCAAGGCCACCCTACGAGGCAGTGGCAAGCAAGACTCAAAACTCAGGCCTCCGTAGCTCTGCCTACCCCACACAGCTTCTCTGTGGGACAAGCTGTTAAATCATTACCGATACAACAGATCCACTAAAACCCAAGTCATTCCAGGCAGGTTTTAAAGCAACGTTTGCTTCCAAATAAAGAGCTAATTCTATGATTAGAGGCTGACAGCCTCATCAAGGCAACCAAGCCCCCAGTACCAGCACTTTTCCCTGAGGAATTCGAGGCACATGTGATGTCACACAGCTCACAAGGGCATCCCTGGGGTGGGAGATGGTGTCCTCCTTTGGTGGAGGGGAAGACATTTTTTTTGACTTGACAAAACAGTCTCAAAGTTTATCTAAAGGAGTAATAACTAAATGAGAAAACTAAGAGATGTCCATAAAAAATGAAAAAGGAATAACATATGTGTGCATAATCAAATGAGTTATAAAAATAACACCTAATAAAACAATGTACTAGAACAGATATTACTGAACAGACCAAAATCTCAGAACATGCCCAGCATCTTGAGAGACTGGCATTCCAAAATAAAATGAAAAGGACCGATTTCTCTATAAATATGTTGAGTCAATTGAAAATTGTTTAAAAAAATAAAAAGATCCCTACCACATACCACATACCAAAATAAATTTCAAGAATATTAGTTTTAATAGATGTTATAAACCATAAAAGTAAAACCTGAAAAAAATACAAAAGAAGTTTCCCCTAAGGTAAGGGAGGTTCCTTTCAACACAGAGAAATCATGAAAAAAAAATATAACAAAGGATAAGACTGATAAGTTTAAATATGCAAGGTTATTTAACTTCTGTATTTAAAAGATGTGGCAAATAAAATGAAAAAGCAAATATTAAGTTAGAGGGAAATATTTGCACAATATGACAAACCACTGAGATACATACAAAAAGCTTTTAAGAATTATCAAAATAAAATACGACTGCTACCAAAAAAGTGGGTAGGAGATGGAACGAAGCTTTTTTTTCAAGTTTTTTAAAACTGAAAAGAAAAAGAAGGACCGAGAGTTTGGTTACAGCTGCAGAGCAGATCAGCCCTGGAGCTGGGACACCCGGCCTGTGATCGGGCACACCACGTATCAAGCTGGCCTTCGAGAAAACATGAAACCACGGGAAGTCCTTACCAGGAAGGCGGGGGAAGAAGGGACTACCTGGTGAAGCTACCCTGCCCCTTATCAAAGAGCATGGGGCTGAGAGAGACCCAGGAGGTGTCAAGGTCTCGTGTCCTTATCCTGCCCCACCAAACTCAGGCCCATGTGGGGCAGAAAGGGGGCGCAAAAGGTAGCAGGCCCCCCATTCTGGTGCTGTTCTCACTGCACCTAAAACGTGATGCCTTTCTTCCCAGACTGGTGAATGTCTGGAAACAAGACATGACTTTACAAATACCTCAAACTCCCAAAAATGTCAGCGAAAAAAAAAAAATTAAGAGAAAAATTAAGAGAAAAAAAAATAAGAGAAAAATTTCCTGTTTTGTTACAAAATATTTCATAATGCCTGCAAGGCCTTTCCTCTTTGGGAAGGTTGTCTTACCGGTTTGAGGACACACCATCGTTGCCCACCCAAGTTCCCTTCCCTGCTGAAGGGCTCAGGGAAGCAAGTGACAGGTGGGAAGGGCTGTGTGTGTCACTACAGACCCCAGCCCTCCCCTCCACATCCAACAGCGGTCGGTCCAGGGCCCTGATTAGACATACACCCCATCTCCTCGAATCCTTTCAGGCCAGGACCCAGACCCCTGAGCCAGGCATGAGGCCACAGCGCCCCTGCCGGGCCCCGAGCGTGCCCCCCCAGAGCCTGCCACCACAGCCCAGTGGACACCCCAGACCTCCTGGAGCTGACAACAGCTGCTTTTCATTAATGGCGCTGTATTATTCGAGATTTCAGTGAATCACGTGCTTCCAAGTCAGGAAATATCAGTAAGGCTTATTGTTTGTGGAGGAACAGAACTCATGAATAATTACTCAGGGTAGACTGCTTGACTGTCACTGCATTTTTAATTATTTTGCTTATGGATTTTCTTATTTACAGCACACTGCTTAGGTCTGAATAGTTATAGTTCTGGCCTTCGTTCAGCCTTAGGCAAGCCCTGGATCTTTAGTTCTAACAAAGCCTAGCTAAGCATGCAGCCTCTCCGTAAGTCCCTCAAGCTCACCCAGATGCACACACAACAGGATGGATTCCCTAAAACATTCTTAAAATAAAGGTATGACCTAATGGCTATACCATCGTCTAAGTTCTAAAATCAAAAATAACTGTTGAAATCACTCTTGATTTTTATGGTGACTCCAATTTTTGTATATAATTGTGCTAAAATAGCAATATATTTATAAATATGGGTTTATTGTCTCATTACATATAATACTGACAAGACCTTGCCACAGCTAGGGTTTTTAAAGGAAAATAAAAAATGCTTAAGGCCTTTTATGGTTTAGTTGCCTGTCTTCCTTTTTTTTATTTAAATTCAATTAGCCAACATATAGTACATCCTTAGTTTCTGATGTAGTGTTCAATGATTACCTAGTTGTGTATAACACCCAGTGCTCATTACATCACGTGCCCTCCTTAATGCCCATCACCCAGTTACCCCATCCCCCCACCTCCATTTCCACAACCCTCTGTTTCCCATAGTGAAGAGTCTCTCATGGTTTGGCTCCCTCTCTGATTTCTTCCCATTCAGTTTTTCCTCCCTTGCCCTATAATCCTCTGTGCTATTCCTTATATTCTACATATGTGTGAAATCAAATGATAATTGTCTTTCTCTGCTTGACTTATTTCACTTAGCATAATCCCCTCTAGTTCCATCCATGTCGATGCAAATGGTGGGTGTTCATCCTTTCTGATGGCTAAGTAATAATATTCCATTGTATATATGTACCACATCTTCTTCATCCATTCCTCTGTTGAAGGGCATCTCGGCTCCTTCCACAGTTTGGCTATTGTGCACATTGCTGGTATGAACACTGGGGTGCACGTGCCCCTTCTTTTCACTACATCTGTATCTTTGGGGTAAATACCCAGTAGTGCAATTCCTGGATCAGAGGGTAGCTCTATTTTTAACTTCCTGAGTAACCTCCATACTATTTTACAGAGTGGCTGCACCAGCTTGCATTCCCACCAACAGTGTAAGAGGGTTCCCCTTTCTCTGCATCCTCTCCAACATTTGTTCCTCCCTCTTATTACTTTTAGCCATTCTGACTGGTGTAAGGTGGTATCTCATTGTGGCTTTGATTTGTATTTCCCTGATGACTAGTGATGTGGAGCATTTTTTCATGTGTCTGTTGGCCATTTGTATGTCTTCTTTGGAGAAGTGTCTGTTCATGTCTTTTGCCCATTTCTTGACTGGATTATTTGTTTTTTGGGTGTCGAGTGAGAAGTTCTTTATAGATCTTGGATACCTAGCTGCCTGTCTTCCTAAAACTATTCTGCTTTCCTTCTCTCCATCCTACCCCTCTCAGGGAGACTTTATTGGCCACTGTGACCATTGCCCATCACCTCTCCTGCCCTCAGCGATTCACATCCTTCTCCTCAAGCTGCTGAGCCCTCTTCTTTCATAGCACCCACCTTTAGCATGGCCTGCATGCTTCTCTTCCTCCCCACCACTCCTTAGTGGCAGAAACTGCTCCTTACTGACCCTATACCCCAGGCACGGCTGGGACATAGTAAGAACTCGATCAATAGTTCTTAAGAATGAATGAAATTAGAAATCCACTTAAGTGTACTTCATTAAGGTCAAATTTGCCCAAGTATTGTTTGTATTTTAAACTGAGCCCCTGAGGTAGCTTGGATGATAAGCATCCACTTGGAAACATCGGGTCAGGTGTGATCATGGCTGCCCCTTAAGGTCCTCAGGTTCAGGTGAGGACGGAGGGCTGAAGAGGATTGAAACTTTCAGATCAAGGCCTCCTGAGGGTGCCTTATTCCCTGAAGCCACGTCCCCTCCACACCCACCCACCCATGCACACACACATGTGCACGCATGCACACCACCCAGCACTAGGGGAGGTCAGGCAGGGCTCCAGTCCTGAGCACGGGGCAAATGAGGAAGCAGGGGAGTTCTTTCTGCTCTTTCAGAATCAAAATTCTAAAAGACCCAGGTCTTTCTTGTCTGCAGACACATCTACTGTTTCTGCTGGTCTTGGGATGTCAGCTTCACACCCCACTTTCAAGAGAGGAAAAAAACTCACTATGCTATGGAGTCATTTACTTACCGTCAGCAGTGTGAAGGAGCTTGTGACTTTTCAACGTCCCTTTCGATTTGAATTTCTTGCCACACATGTCACACAGGTGGGTTTTCTCAGTGCTATGACGATTCATATGAGCCTTGAGGTTACTCTTGCTGCGAGTTGCATACTCACACAAAGAACATTTGAAGGGTTTCACACCTACGGAGCGGGAGGGGGGGAATATATATATAAATAAATAAAATTACACAGACACCCACCTATTTATATGGGTGTGCATATATGCGTGCATCCGAAGGATATATGTGCATATCCGTGTCGAACAAAGCAGTGCCTACCCCCAGACTCGCCGCACACGGGCCTTGCCATGCTCTCATCCATGCTGTTCCTCCCGACGGCCATGCCCTGTCCTCCTGGTTCTGCCAGGGCCTCCCCCGTGCAGCTTTCTCTGGCTTGCCCAAGCCAGTGCCCTCGGTGCCCTCTCAGCGTCCCAGTCCTGAACTCCCTGCTAGCCGTACTGCTATACTGCATGGCGAGTCGTCCGCACCAGCCTCTCCTCACAGTCCAGGAACTCCTCGCGGGCACAGACCCCCAAGCAGTTTCTGCAGCACACATTCATTATATTCAACTGAACTGAGATAAGCTGACCAAAATTAAACAAGGGCCTGTGCAGAAATCAATGGGATCAGGCCCCCAGGATCAGACGGGAAAGCACATTTTCATAAACTGAGCAAAGCCTTAGGACAGGAGCTATTGTTGGGCTAAAGGCTTGGACTGTGGGGCGTCCTGGCTGCTTCCCCTTCACTCGACAAACACCTCCTGAGGACCTACTTTGGAGCACACACTGAGGGGGCTCTGAAGCTGAGAAGCCACGGCCCCTGCAGCCACTGTCCAGAGGGAGATGTAAAGCAATAAGGCCGTGACACCCAGTGCAACGTGCACAGGGAGAGGGATGATGTGCCCAACACTGAGCACGGGAGGACCTGACACCCTGCGCACCCAGCATCTTCAGCCCTTGTCTACGGGACCCAAGACTTTGCAGCTAAGGAAATCGAGGCTTCACCGAGGCTGCGGGGTATGCCCAGGGCACAGAGGGCAGGTGCATGTGTCCGGGTAAACAAAAAGGGCCTCCCAACCTTGGCTTTGAGCTCTGCTCCTTCTGCCTTGTCTGGATCCCTACTCCACCATTTCCTGAACTGTTCACCTCTCCCTTCCTGATGGTGCTTTCCCCAAGGCCTGAGAACAAGTGTTTCTCTCCTCCCTGCAGAAAACACTCCGTCCTTCGTTTTCTCCAGGAACCCTCCGCCTGCAGCACTCCAGCTCCCTAACTCACAGGCGGGACCTCAGCAAATGTCCAGAAGGGCTCCCCCGGGTGTTGGCTCTGAGCCTCATCCCCAGGAGCGCTGCGTCCTTACAGCGGGAAGCAAAGTTGGTGGCCCGCTGTCTCCAACAACCTCCTGACCTCCAAATACCCGAAGTCCCAGAGCATGTTCCCCGCACTTCCCTTCACAGGCAAGCATCCCTAAAGCACAGCTTATCTTCCTCCCTCCGCTCCATCTCCACGCAACTCTCCCGCCTTCTGAATTCTTCCTCCACGATGCCGGACCAGAGGCCTCTCTGCCGTCCTCTTCGCCTTCGTTCACTTGTAACCCCAACACCTGCTGAGCACCTACCACGCCAGCGCAGACGTCATGGGGATCTAGCTCACTACAACTCCAATGAAAGCTCTGAACCGCACACCTCTATCACTGCAATGGCAACTGAACAGGGAGGGACTGAAATCACCGAGCTTAGCTGGCTCATGGATACATTTCTCAGGAAGCTGAAGGACATCTAACTGCCAGGCACACAACGAGACGGCTTCCTCCTAAAGTATGCCCACATGAAGCATGGAGGCACAAAACTAAAAGGGGGCTCTACCTTGAAAGAACAATACTCACCTTCGTGAGCCCAAATATGACGCTGAAGGTCGGAGCCGTTCTTCATGAAATAGAAATCACAGTATGGGCACTTCATGGCTCGCTTCCCAATCAGACCTTTCAACTGAACTCTCCTCCCGAGAACCTCGGAAATAGTGCTCATGGACACCTCTAGAAGAAAAGCAGGTGGATCATCAGATGCCAAAGACGACTGGCTCCTGCGAGACGTACGTGAACCTCGTGACCGCGCCCCAACGCCCTGGCCGATCCCAGCAGCGCTCAGGTGGCCAATCGAGATGTGCCCGCCCGCAGTCACGCAGTAGGACTTTTGCCTAAAAATTGAACCAGAATCAAGGCTCAGATCTAAATATCCATGAGCATAAAATGTGAGGGATGGAGGAACAAGACCAGGAAGCACTGTCAGACAAATGCAGGACATGAAATCACCTACAGGAAAAGCGACCAGTCCCTCTAAGAAACTGATGTCACGGGATCAAAAGTGGGGTGGGGTGAACCACAGAATATAAGGAACTCATGTGACGTAACAACTAAAAGCAAAATGCCTGGGTCTTGATTCAAAGAGTTTTGTGTTGACGGAGGAAATTTTAAATGAACTAATACTAGGCAGTAATAAAGAATCAGCACTAATTCTGTCTGTTTTAAGGGTGACCTAGTGGTTATGCTCCAAAAACACCACAATCAGCGTCCCAAAGTTCTTTTACGGGAAAATTACATATGTGCGGGTCCTACTTTAAGATATTCTAGAACAGAGCGCCTGGGTGGCTCAGTTGGTTAAGCGACTGCCTTCGGCTCAGGTCATGATCCTGGAGTCCCGGGATCGAGTCCCGCATCGGGCTCCCTGCTCGGCAGGGAGTCTGCTTCTCCCTCTGACCCTTCCCCCTCTCATGTGCTCTCTCTCATTCTCGCTCTCTCAAATAAATAAATCTTTAAAAAAAAAAAAAAAAGAGGGGCGCCTGGGTGGCTCAGTTGGTTAAGCAACTGCCTTCGGCTCGGGTCATGATCCTGGAGTCCTGGGATCGAGTCCCGCATCGGGCTCCCTGCTCAGCAGGGAGTCTCCTTCTCCCTCTGACCCTCCTCCCTCTCATGCTCTCTGTCTCTCATTCTCTCTCTCTCAAATAAAAAAATAAAATCTTTAAAAAAAAAAAAAAGATATTCTAGAACAGAGAGTCTGGAGAGTCAATACACGAAACAATGCACAGTCTGACAAAATGCACAGGAGTGTGGCAGCTGAGCTGTTGCGGACCCGTGGGGGTTCCTCATATTATCCTGTGTTTAGTATATATTTGAAGTTTAGACCAAAGACAAACCACACCTCACATATGTTCATGAGAAAGGGTGTCCGGTTTAAACGAGCACCCTCGGCTCACACCGTACACAGGCTGACACGGCAGAAGGAGGCCATCAGAGGATCCCATAACCCACATGCTCCCACAAAGATGGTCTTAAGGCTCCATCTGTTCCCAGATAAAACACGAGTGTTGGTGAGCTCCATTATCTCTTTACTCTTCTCCAGTATCATTTATAATCAGCGAGTCAGTACCCTAGCACAGGAGCAGATACAAAATAAAGCAGACACAAAAGGGACATGGACGCTGGGAAAGGTGCACCGCTTACACATTCCTCATTTATGCCACACACAGTGCTCTCGGGACTGCCCAATGTGACGCTGCGGACCTGAGGCTAGACCTTAACAATGGCAGTCCTTCCCCAAGGCTCTGGGCGGGCGGTAGAGGGGGACAGGAAAGTGCCAATGACCTGAACACAAGGGGCCAGTGCGGGGAGAGCAGGGTATGGGTGGGGTACGGGCGGGGCCCTTCCCCAGGCAGGGAGCCCCCAAATCCTCCCCAAGGATGGGACTCCATGGAAGAACACAGAGAATAAACGGGAATTAGCAGAGTACAGGAAATGTGTCCCAGGTCGGGGAAACGGAGGTGTGACAGGCATGAATGCCCAGGTGGCTCATGCTTCACACATCTGAGTGGGCAAAGAGACCAGTGTGGGGAGACCCGAGGGGACGGTCACTCCAACTCAGCAAGGCTCCTCAGCCTGGGAGCACACACCACTCACAGACCACCATGCTGGGCAACCAACTTTTCATGGGCCCCCTGGGAGTGGTGTCTAAGGTCAGACCCACCCAAAGGCATTCCAAGTGAACGTTAAAAGGGAGGAGGGAGATGGGAGTGTGGGGAGACAGAAGACCAGATGAAAGGATAAAATGAAAGAATTAACTCCCCAACATTCAATCAATGTAATCGTGTCCCTCGAATTCACTCATCCTTTATCCCCCTTTATTCCCATTTTGTGCAGTTGATACATACTGCTGTGTTTTAAAGTAAACATAAGCACTTTAAAATTAATCTCCTCCCCAAAATGCATAACCTTACCAGGATGGTTGGTCTTGATATGCGACTTTATCAATCGGTCTTCTGAAAAAGACTTTTCACACACTGGACAAGAATAACTCCTTTTGTCCTTAACAGAAAGAGAGCATAATCAACGGGCTGTCTCATTCAAACCAGGGCTCCACGGAGAAACCACCACCACCGCCGCGGCCACCGCCACCACCTCCACGGTGCACCTCTGCAAACACGTGACATGCGCCTGCACCTGGCCCTACAGCCCGAGAGCTCAGGAGTGCTGGGGACTGTTACCGGCTCCATTTCGGAAGGGAGGGACGGGGCTTACAGCTGACGGTCCGCTGGAGGTGGCCAGGCCAGCGGAGGGCAGGGCTCGGCCTTGAGGTCTACCACGCAGACCAGCGCTGCTCCATGACCCAACGCGTATCATGTCCTCCAGTGCTCTCTGCGTGGTGTGTGGGGGTTTCATAGAAGTTATTTTACTGAGATTCACAACCACTTTCAATTGACAGGCATTATGATGTTCACATTACAGATTAAGAAACAAGGCCAAGGGTGATGAGCCCAAGGCTGAGAGGAAGAGCCAGCATCTGAACCCGAAATGCCCACCCCAGGCTGCTCCCACGACTCCCAAGGCCCGCGTCCCACTGAGGCCACAGTAAGGGGTTCATTCCACACTGCTCCTCGCTTCTCTGATCCAGCTAGCTGCCATGCTACATTCTCACCACGGGGGAGGCTCTTGTGAATGATCAAGCTATAGCTTTTGCTCACCTTTTCCTTCAGCTCACTGTAGGACTATTTCACATGCCAACTTTCCCCCCAAGGGTGGGTGTTATGGGTTAAACTGTGTCCCCTGCAAAATTCATAGTGAAGTCCTAACCCCCGTACTTTAGAATGAGACCTTATTTAGAAACAGGGTCATTGCAGATGCAATAGTTAAGATGAAGTCATGGTGGGCGGGGAGGGGTGGGGAGGCAAATCCAATATGACTGGTGTCCTGGTAAAAAAAAAAAAAAAAGGGAAACTGGGACATGGACATGCACACAGGGGATGCCATGCGAAGAAGGAGGCAGAAATCCAGGTGACAAGTCTGCAAGCCAAGGAACAACAGAGATTGCTGGCAAAACACCAGGAGCTAGGAGAGAGGTGAAGAACAGACTCTCCCTCACAGCCCTCAGGAGGAAGGAACCGTGCAGACACCTTCATCTTGGAATCCCGGCCTCTGGAACTGTGAGACAATAAACATCATTGTTTATGCCATTCGGTGGGTCGGGGGCCCTGGGGGCTAATTCAGGGGGTGAGCAGACGAAGGGGAAGGGCTGCAGCGGGACTCCACCTGCACTATGGGTGCTTCAGATGGGAGGGGTGGGCAGAAAGCACAGAGCTCTGTGTGCGAGTTTGCTCCTGCCCACCGTTAGTGTCCCCGACAGGGACGACAACCAAATGAGGCATCATTAGTGCAAGCTCACCAAGCACAGAAACACCCACAAACCCACAACAAGCTGCGGAGTGTGACCTATGTTAACAAATTGCACGAGCCCACAAGCAACACAGGCCCGTGACTGCAAGGAAAGGTTTCGGGCAGTGTGAGTTCCGGAGGATGTTAACAGTCCCTGCTCACCTGGATATACAGGCGCACAAATTCCCACCATTTACTGAGCATCTACGAGGAGCTCAGTATTGCACCGAGTGCTCCCCATGTCATGGTCAATGACTAAGTCACCCCAAAATGCAGTCTACTCACACGCTCACACCAATAAATAATGATAGCAACAACAGCGACCCTATAAGAACTTACTCATGCAGCATGCTGCACTCTACGTACCACACCCTATGCGGCATTTGAGAAGCTGTCCAAGGTTCACACCACACCCAGAGAGTAGAGGTGGGTGTCCAAACCAGACCTCTGTACTCCAGAGTTCCTGCTCCTATAAAACAGTGACTAGGAGTATGGACTCAGGGCTTCGAGTTCTTATGTTCAAATCCTGGTTTCACCACTTATTAGCTGGGGAACTTTGGGCAAGTAACTTCACCTGTCAATGCCCTGGTTTCTTCATATGTAAAATGGCAATAAAAACGGCCTCCTTGCTAGGAGGAAAAAGGAAATTAAAAACACATAAAGTGGACTTCCAATTTCCAGTCCAGCACATAAGAAGCTTGGAAGTCCATCCTAACAACAAATGAAATGTTGGACAAACTGAAAAAATAACTCTTCTTAATCCATAAGAGACATGAGGCCACAGGGCAAACCACTGCCCCCCAAGCTGGAGAGAATGCAGAGAATCACAACTTCTTGGAGCACAAATTCACAGGCAGAAACCTCTCTGTGAACCAGGACCAGAGCAGGGAAACTAGGACTGGAACTAACAAGCTGCCAGAAGCTTGCTGTGGATAACTTTTGTGAGTTTTGCTTCTAGGAGCTCAACCTTGTACTGACATGAGTATCAGAGAAAAACCCACACTTCCGCTTCCGGCAAGGAGAAGGGAAAAGGAACCATTTTAAAATACACCACAGTATTCTATTCCTCTTAACGAGGCCAGCCTCCAGGTAGGAATAAAGATGGCGGAGGAGTAGGGGACCGTATTTCAACTGGTCCCCGGAATTGAGCTGGATATCTACCAGACCACTCTGAGCACCCATGAAATCAGCCTGAGATGTAAGAAGATCCGGATCTCTACAAACAGAGTATCGCGGGTGGTTGGTTTTGAGGTACAAAGCAGGGAGCCATGATTCCCTGGGCAGATGGATAAACAGCAGCGGGAAGGAGCCTGGCCGTGGGGATCCTACACCACCGGTGAGCGACAGCCTCGTGCACTGGGGACGGGGCACAGACTCGCAGACCAGTAGCGGCAGGGAAAGGACTTTAGGGCAGCCCCCGAGGCGGAAACCCGGAGTGGCGGGGTCACACGTGCAAACTGGGAGCGGCTGGCCATTTTAGAAGCACAAAGGGCAGAGACATGCCCCGACCTGGAGGCAGAACTGGGAGCGCTGTGGAGGGGCGCACAACCCAGGACGATGCAGTTTATAGCAGCACGGACAGAAACGGAGACAGTGTGGCCTGGAGAGCTCACTGAAGAACAGACTGTGGTCTCTCTGCTCTGAGGCAGAGGGTTGGAAACGGTCTCTTCTGCTCTGACTCGCGGAAGAGACGCGGAAAGCCTCCAGGGAAAGCCCCCAGGGAACAAAAGTCCCAAAAAACTGATTCCCACTGAGCCAACCCCCCGTGCGAGGGGGGCAAGGGCAACTCTGCCCAAACAGGGTTACCTGAGTAACAGCACAACAGGCCCCACCCCCAGAAGACAGGCTGGGAGAACAAGAGGTCAGCAACCCTAAGGTCCCTAGAAAACAGGAGCATCTTGCTTGGGTTGTGGTTAATAATTTGGACTCTATACATTCCCTCAACCACCCCTCAACAGACTGACTAGGAGGAGGAGCCCCCAAAATAGGAAAGACTCAGAGATTATGACTTATGCCGCAGATTTACAAATGGATGCAGATATAACCAAGATGTCGGAGATGGAATTCAGGCTAGCAATTGTGAAGACAATGGCTAGAATGGAGAAATCAATTAATGGCAACATAGAGTCTCTAAGGGCAGAAATGAAAG